CTCTCTCTCTCTCTCTCTCTCTCTCTCTCTCTCTCTCTCTCTCTCTCTCTCCCGTCCCCCTACCTTCTCGCTCGAGCATGACTTGGGTCCTTCTCGGGTCGATCGTTAGCGCGCGGCTCTTCGTCTGTCTCTGTATCTTGCGGCCGTCGCTGCGGTTTCGCGCGTGAACGTTCGTCTGTTTGTTCGTCAGGCGTCGACACGAACCGGTTGAGCTACATCGACGAGTCGGAGTCTGACAACTCGTTCTGCGACGCGGCCGAGAAGCGGGGTCTGTCTCACGACGACGGCGAGGTCGTGCCACAGCAGGTGAGTGCTGCCGGCGCCACCTAGCGGCGACGACGATGCCGCCGGCGCCACCTAGCGACGGCGACGAGGTGTCGGTGGCCCTTGGTGGTCGCCGTAGCGTCGCTTTTGTTAAATGTCAGTGTTAACGTTATAATTATTTCACCGTTGTTCTTACTTCATGTTGCTCCAATGTTGTTCGTCTTGCTGTTGTTCCTCCATTTTGTTCCGTTGGTTAAGCATTCTCGCTATTGTTCTCACCATTTTCTAGTAGTTGTTTATGTGCGCCATCTCAGTGTTGTTCTCTCACATCCACTCATCGTTGTTCTCTCACACTCAATCACATCGTTGTTCTCTCACATCCACTCTCGTTGTTGTTCTCTCACATCCACTTTCATCGTTGTTCTCTCACATCCACTCTCACCATTGTTCTCTCACATCCAATCTCGTCGTTGTTCTCTCACACCCACTCACACCGTTGTTCTCACCGTTGTTCGTCTTCATTGTTCTCACCGTTGTTCTTCATCGTTCACATCGTTGTTCGTCGTCGTCGTCGTTCTCACCGTTGTTCTCACCATTGTTCCCGTGCAGGAGCAGATCCCGCAGAGCCTTCTGGAGAAGTTCACGAGCATGACGCAGATCATCCTCGCACAGACGGTCGACACGGAGATAGCTAAGCACTGTGCGTACAGCCTGCCCGCCGTCGCCTACACGCTCGGCCGCTGCAACTGGAGCTGCCTGAAGAACACGTACGAGACGCTCGCCTCCGACATGCAGGTAGGTGGCGCTGCTGCTGGTGGTGGTGGTCGCCATTGTTTGGTTTGTCGGGCGGCACGGCGGTTTTGTTTTTGTGTGCGCGGCTGTTGTTTGTTTTTGTGTCGTGGAGTGACGGTGGCGGGCGTCTTGCGCAACTTTATCTCTCTCTCTGTCTCTCTCTCTCTTCCTCTTTCTCTCTCTCCCTCTCTTTGCTTCTCCCCTCTCTCTCTCTTTTCCTCCCTCTCCCCCTCTCTATCTCTCTCTCTTCCTTTCTCTCCCCCTCTCTATTCCTCCTTCTCCCCCCTCTATCTCTTTCTCTTCCTCTCTCTTCCTCTCTCTTCCTCTCTCTTCCTCTCTCTTCCTCTCTCTTCCTCTCTCTTCCTCTCTCTCTTTCTCTTTCCCTGTTCCTCTATCCCTCTCCATCTCTTTGCCTCGTCCTCTCTCTCCCTCCCTCTCTCTCTATATCTCTCCCCCCCCCTCTCTCTCTCTCTCTCTCCCTACCTCTCCCTGGAGTCACCCCAGTATTGTCGAGTCATTAGTGTAACCTCTCTCTATCTCTCTCCTGCTGCAGTGGAAGGTGCGGCGGACACTGGCCTTCTCCAACCACGAGCTGGCCGTCATCCTTGGACCAGACATCACCGCCAAGGACCTCGTGCCCATCTTCAACGGCTTCCTCAAGGACCTCGACGAGGTGCGCGTGGGAGTGCTCAAGCACCTGTTCGACTTCCTCAAGGTAAGCGCCCTCTGGCGGCAGCGGGAGGGGAGGGACGAGGTGCGCGTGGGAGTGCTCAAGCACCTGTTCGACTTCCTCAAGGTAAGCGCCCCCTGGTGGCAGGGAGATGGGGAGGTAAGCGCCCCCTGGTGACAGCGGGAGGGGAGGGACGAGGTGCACGTGGGAGTGCTCAAGCACCTGTTCGACTTCCTCAAGGTAAACGCCCCCTGGTGGCAGGGAGATGGGGAGGTAAGCGCCCCCTGGTGACAG